CTCCTCTCCCCCCCCCCCCCCCAGCATATGGAAAGGTGCTGCCCACATTCAGGTGACACTTCACACCTTCCCCAGCTCAATTGAGAAAATCCCTCATAGGCATGTCACAGACCAACTTAATCTAGATAATTCTTCATTGAGACTCTGTTTCCAGATGATTCTAGATGGTGTCAAGTTGACAATTAAACTATCACAACTTGATGCATAAACACATAACTTTAAAATATAACTTCTCCATTTTCCGGAAATCTCATGTAAAATACAGTTCACTTTAAACTACTACACAGTCTTAAAAAATTCCTATACTTTAAAGGGTCCATATACTAGTACATATACATACACTAAAATTGGAATGATACAGAGAAGATTAGAATGGCATCTGTGCAAGGATGACACACAAATTCATGAAGCATTCCATACTTAGTTTTTTTTGGTATTGTTTTGTTTGTTTTGGGGCTTTTTTTGTTTTGTTTTTTGGTCTTTTTGAGACAGGGTCTAACTATGTAGACCAGGCTGGCCTTGAACTCAGAGTTCAGAACTTACCTGTAGCCTCCTGAGTACAAGGATTAAAGGCGTGTGCCACCACACCCCATACATAGTTTTTAAAATGTCAAAAATGTATTAACTGATATTCTATAAAAGTCAAAAACAATGGGGCTGGAGAGATGGCTTAGCAGTTAAGTGCAGTGACTGCTCTTGTAGTAGACTTGGGTTCAGTTCCCAGCTCCCAAATGGTGGCTCACAGCCATCTGCAACTCCAGGTCCTCATCTGACTCCCACCAGGATTGTGGAAAACTTGCACACATGCAGACCAAGCACTCATACGCTCAAAAGAATAAAACAATAGATAAATGAAAAACAAGTTACATGCTTCTATACATGACATACATAATGACATGTACATGATACATGATGACAGAGAATAACCCTTATTATGGCGAAATAGAACTGCAGCACAGAATAACCACACTGAAATAAAACCAAAGCCCAGGAGAGAGAACATCCCATTCTTCAGCTCCACGTCCAGCATTTGGAGTTCATGATGTAATCTGCTCGATTCCAAAGGGCCTGGGTAGCCCCACCTCTGCAGCTCTGGTACCTGTAGCACATAGCTTCTCTCTGAGCCTTGGGCCAGCTCCAAGCCACACAGCTCTTTTTGGCAGACATCCCAAAGTCCTGGCATCTCTGATATTCTAGATTCTCCATTTGTGCTAGATAGCTTTAATTGTCAACTTGACGCAGCTGATGAGAGGGAATCTAAAGTAATGAATTGTCTCCCTGGGACTGGCCATGGCCATGTCTGTGGGGCATTTCCTTGATTGCTGAGTGGTGTGGGAGGGCCCAGCCCACTGTGAGTGGTGCCACCCCTGGGCAGGTGGGCCTGTATTGTATACAGACCAGAGGAGTAAGCCGGTAAGCAGCATACCGCCATGGTCTGTACTCCAGCTCCCGCCTCCAGGTTCCTTCCCTGAGTTCCTGCCTTTGTTGCCTTTGATGATGGATTATGCTTGTGAGCCAAATAAACCCTTTCCTCTCCAAGTTGGTTTGGGTATGTTTTTCTTCACAGCAAACTATGATAGTAAACTAGAATACAAGTTGGTACCAGAGAGTGGGCTATTGCTGTAGTAGACCTGACCCAGTTGTTTTGGGGACAGTAGTGGAAGGTTTTGGAACTTTGGACTGGAAAAGCCACTGGGTATTTAGAGCTTAGTGAGCTGTTCTGTAGGAACTTGGAAAATAATGCCAAAAGAAGTGTAGGTAACAGAGGCCTGGCTTGTGACATTTCAAGGGAACTAAAGACTTTATATGGCATTTTGAATTGAGAATCTGTGGTTTCTGCTTGACTGAGGCTGAAAATCAGTTGTGGTTAAGAAGAGACCAGAACCACTGGTGTGAAGCCTTTGCTTTACTGGGACAATTGATGCTGATCAGCAAAATCACCTATGAATAAGAAGAGACCAGTATCATTGAGTTGAAATCTTCTGGAAAATATTTCCACAGGGTGAGTGCATAGAAGCTGTGGTCCAGAGAGGGCCCTGAGCCTCCATCTCAAACTGGAAGCAGGACTTGGTAATGTATAAGAATCTCCTGCGTGGTGTTGAAGGCACTAAAGGGTCATGGAGAGAATCTGAGGCTTTGCATTCTGAGAGACAAGAACAGCCCATTGGGGAAGATGCAGCCTCAGTTTCAATAGAGACCCCAGCATATTGGAGATGTCAGGACCATGGACAACCACTAAGGGCAGCTGCCAGCCTGGAATGGAACCTGCCTGAGTCTAAGAGACAAGCTGTGTGTGCTATGGACAGAAGAGAGAGACATGAAACTGCCCAAGCCCTTTGGAGTTCAGAAGATCATGAGTGAATCCCAGATGTCCAGCCTTGAGCTACTTTGCTGATTTTGGTTATGCTTAAGTGTTCCCAATTCATCCCTTTTGAAATAAGACAGTACTTGTTTTGGATTTTGCAGGAGTCCGTAGTTAAGAGACTTTTAAAAGAGACTGAACTTTTAAAGTTTTGTTTTTTTAAGGACTGTGGGGCTTTTAAAATTGTATTCATGGGGCTGGAGAGATGGCTCAGTGGTTAAGAACACTGTTCTTGCAGAAGACCCAGGTTCGAATCCCAGCACCCACATGGCAGCCAATAACTGTCCATAACTCCAGTACCAGGGGATCCAACAGCCTCTTCTGTCCTCCGTGGGCATTGCACGACACAGGTGCACTTACCTACATACAGGTAATACACGCATACACATAAAATTAAAAAAAAATAATAAAATAAAATATTTTTCAAAAATTGTACTCATTATGTTGTGATATTAATATTAGTGTATATCTTGGGTTCAAGAAATGAAAAGGTATGGTTTAATAGCAGTGTGTTTTTGCGTAAGTTGACAAGGGGTCAGTTGTGCAGATAGCTTCATTCGTCAACTGGACACACCTACATGGAGGGACCCACAATTGAGGAATTTCCTCCATTAGTCTGGCCTGTGGCCATGTCTGTGGGGCATCTTCTTTATTGTTGAGTGATGTGGGAGGGCCCAGCCCACTGTGGGTGGTGCCACCCCTGGGCAGGTGGGCCTATGTTGTATAAGAAAGCAGGCTGAGCAGGAGCCAGGGGAGCAAGTCAGTAGCAGTGTTCCTCCATGGCCTGTGCTTCAGCTCCTGCCTCCAGGTTCCTGCCCTGAGTTCCTCCTTTAGTTCCTTTGATGATGGACTATACTTTATAAGCCAAATAAACTCTTTCCTTCCCAAGTTGACTTTGGTCAGTGTTTTCTTCACAGCAATATGAAAGTAAACTAGAACACAGCTTCACACAGTGGCCTCTCAGGGCCTCTCCACAGGAGCTCTGACCCTGCCAGTGTCTGGCCTTGGCTGCTCTCCATGGCCCCCTCAATCTTGCACCTTTCATGACCTTAACACCTGTTCACATGGATGATGATTGTGGCATTGACAAAGTCTGCTGCCAGCGTGAGATGTAGCTGGGCCCTCTTGACCCACAGCTGTGTCAGTGTCTGTGTGTTGACCCTGAGAAGCCATTCTCCCAGCAGAACACGGGAGGCTTCTCTGCAGTGGTGCCGATCTCTCTACTACAGCTACTTCTTCAGCACCATCTTGCCTTGAAATTCCCTTTTCCTACAAATCAGTCCATTATCTTCGGTTCAGCTTCACTCAGATTTTTGGGACATGAACAGAATAAAGTCAGATTCTTGGCCAAAATGCTCCCTGAACGGCCCCCAGCCCAAGCTCCCACTCCAGCCTCGGCCTCTCCATCCACCTCGCTTTTGGCATTGGCTCTTCTGAGGTCCCATGAGAACTGCCCTTTAAGAATTGCTTCCAGCAGTCGGTTGCTTTTCTAGCCCAACCTACCAAGTGTTTTCCTTTCCCAAATGACCCTGAAGGCTGAGAGCCACACGGCCAGGTTTACTGCCATTTTCCCAAAGCCCCTCTGTATTTGACCTACCTTCTTCCAACTGGCGATGCAACCTTCTTACCTTTTGGTCTGTCACTTACAACCTCCATCCTAGTCATACTTTGCCCAATGCTATTGATCCTTCAGTGTCTCTGTGTCATGACCATTCTCCAAGGCTCTTTTTGTATGTTTTGTTTTTGTGGTGTTATTAGAGATTGAACCCAGGGCCTAGTGCGTGGTCGGCTCATGCTCAGTTACTGAGCTGCGTCTGCCTGGTGTTTCCTTATCTGAGCTCCCACATTGCTCTTTATAATTCGCATCTTCCTCAGAGGCTCTAATACTTCAGTGCATATTTCCATTCATCTTATTCTGAAGATGGATTATTACTTCCTTAAAAAAAGAAACACTGCTTTACTTATTCCCTGTATGAATAATGTCCATTTGTCACACAGCTGTGGCTGTAGTTGATAGTGTTTCTCCCCCTTTCAGCTTAATTATTCAATACAGGGTAGAAAATTATGCAGACTGAACAGTAGATAGAGGTGGTTTTCTAAATCATTCTCCTCTCAGCTCTAGTTTGGGACAGAATGTTCTTGTCAGCATGTGGAGCACACCTTCATTATAGTTAGTCTCTGAATGGCCTGTATTCAGATGCCTTCCAGTCAGTTCAGGAGAATCTGCTAGAGGCTAGTATATTCAGAAAAGTCACCAAAAGGTAATAATTCTCCTTTGCTAAGAACCTAAAGATAATCAATTATTTTAACCCTACCATTTCTGGTGTGGACTTCAGAGACACTGAGAGATAGTCAATTGGAAGAAGAGACAAGAGACTTAGAATGAATATCCAATTGTGTACAGGTCCTGGAAAGTACTTATCCTTGTTGAAAGCTGAGGCAAAGCTGGGCACTGAGAGGTTTTGAAGAGGCTTACAAAACTCATCTTGAAGTAAAGTTGGTAAAAATAGCAATCATGGCTTTTTTGAAAGTTCAAGGGCTCACAACGACCTTTCCCAGGTAAAACGGCTCTTCCCACAATTTTCTATGGCTCATCGTATTCCGCACTGTTACTGAATTTTGCAAGTGAAAAGTAAAGTGCTAAAGACTTGCATTTTATGGAATTTACAATTCCATCACAAATGACTTTTCAAAGAGAGAGCAGCTCAGGTCCAGCTCTGTCCCTTCCTGCCTTCTACCTCCCTGTTCACTTCCTCTGGACAGGAACCTACTTGCCCAGTTCTGAACTGCTCATATCATCTCTGTACAGCATCCAGGTTAGCTGCCACAGGGATCTTGCCCTAAGTTCTGATCGTTACTGAAGGTCAATTGCTTTCCTGTACAAATGACTTGAAATGCACATTCCTTCAGAGAAAATCCAGCCCAGTGCAGGGACGTTATTTCAAATATGCTTCAAAAAACAGTTAAACAACATTCAGTTGACTTTAGCCAATTCTTTTGGGATTTTAGATGTTCAATATACCCAAGACAAAAGAAGCCTTTCTCAGGAATTTGGAGATAGT